AAACGCTCCCGGGAAACCAGGCAAGTTGAACAACGGTGAAGTGAGTTCCAGTTCCAGTTCCGCCACCTTCACACAGAGTTCCCACTGCGTACGCACAAGCCGGTAATAGCCATCCGTAACGTAAGTCTTGTTTTTGTACTTTTGAAATATGCCCCCTGACATGTGAAGTGCCTTGTTTTATTTCCCACTGCTGCATCGCAACGTCAAGAACAGATAGAGCTCTTATTAATGTACGATAATTATTGAAATTTTTCGAAGAGCCTATCCAGTTGAAATTAAGTAATTACGCCCAAATCGAGTGTCAAATAAGTGTATATTTTTTAAATTCAAAATTCTTTCAAGATTCTAAATCTCAGACTTTTAATCCTAATCCCCACAAACTACGACAAACCGTTTCAAGTCAACTAACATTCAATTATCAAATAACGATCGTAACATCTCGGTTTTCACTCATCGACTGTCAATCCTCCCCCTTACCTTTTTTCCCTTCTATAAACCTACCAGTACTCGGCGGGCGCACTCAACCTTCCCGGGTTATTGCCGGTGAATGCAGGTAGGCCCAAAACTAAAATAGAGCAGCGCGTTCTCGATCCCGAGGGCCCGAGGACGTGACACTAGCAAGTTTCGTTCGCAGATTGATTTCATTTACGTTATCTTCTGGAAATAGCGAATTTGTTCGAAAACATACAAGCCGAAACGTGAATTTGCATTACTTCACGTTTTCTGCTGTAGAACGGAAAGAAACGCTCGCCGCTAGAAATCCCCGAGGCTGCAGCGCGGAAATAACGTATTATAGCAGAATATTTCAACCTCACTCTTCAGTTTGCATCCGTTCACAATTTTACTTAAAGAAACGCAAGATTCATATGAAATTCACGTTACTTCGCCTATTACACGAGAACTCGCAAGTTTCGTTCGCAGATTAATTCTATTTACGTTATCCCGTGGAAAAGGCGAATTTGTTCGAAGCATTCAAGCCGAAACGTGAATTTGCATTACTTCATGTTTTCTGCTGTAGAACAGAAAGAAACGCTCGCCGCTTGAAATCCCCGAGGCTGCCGCGCGGAAATAACGTAATAAAGCAGAATATTTCGATCACACTCTTCCGTTTGCATCCGTTCACGATTCAACGTAAAGAAATGCGAGATTCACTTTACATTCACGGTACTTCGTCTATTACACACGAACTCGAAAGTTTCGGTCGCAGATTGACTTCATTTATGTTATCTTGTGGAAATACCGTATTTGTCCGAAAACATTCAAGCCGAAAGGATAATTTGCATTAATTCCCGTTTTCTGCTGTAGAAATGAAAGATAGGTTCGCCGCTTGAATTCCTCGAGGCTGCAGCATGGAAATAACGTAATAAAGCAGAATATTTCAATCTCACTCTTCAGTTTGCATCCGTTCACGATTTAACGTGAAGAAACGCAAGTTTCACTTGACAATCATATTACTTTACCTATTACACTCAAACTCGCATGTTTCGCTTGCAGATTGGTTTCCAATACGTTTTCTCGTGGAACTATCGTCTTTGGTCGAAAAGATTCAAGCCGAAACGTGAATTTGCATTATTTAATTTTTTCTACTTTAGAAACGAAAGAAACGCTCGCCGCTTGAATTCCTCGAGGTTGCAGCATGGAAATAGCACAATAAAACAGAATATTTCAATCACACTCTTCAGTTTGCGTTTTTTCACGATTTAACGTAAAGAAACGCAAACTTCACTCGACAATCACCATACTTAGCCAATTACACGCAAACTCGCAAGTTTCGCTCGCTGATTGATTTGTCTTACGTTTTCTCCTGAATCTTGCGTATTTGTTCGAAAATATTCTAGCCGGATCGTGAATTTGTGTTAGTTCAATTTTTATGCTGTAGAAACGAAAGAAACTTGAGTCGATTGAAATCGTCGAAGTTACTGTATCGAAATAACACAATAATCCATAATATTACAATCACACTATTCAGTTTGATGCATTTGACTATTTATTGTGGAGAAACGCAAGATTCTCTTGACAAGCACTTTACTTCACCTATTACGCCCAAACTTGCAAATTTTGCTTGCAGATTTATTTCCTTGGCGTTTTCTCGTGGAACTAGCGTATTTGATCGAAAAGATTCAAGCCGCAACGTGAATTTCCATTACTTTACGTTTTCTTTTGAATAAACGAAAGAAACACTCGCCCATTGCATTCCTCAACGCTGTGGGATGGAAATAACATAATAAAGAGAATATTACAATCACATTCTTCAGTTCGCTTCCTTTCACGATTTATCGTAAATAAACGCCAGATTCAATTGTCATTCAGGTTACTTCGCCTATTATACGCAAACTTTCAAGTTTTGCTCGCAGATTGATTTCTTTTACGTTTTCTCGTTGAACTATCGTATTTAATCGAAAATATTCTAGCCGGAAATTGAATTTGCATTAGTTCACCTTTTCTACTGTAGGAACGAAAGAAACGCTTTCCGATTGAATTTGTCGCGGCTGCAGCATCGAAATAACACAATAAAGCATAATATTTTATTCACACTCTTCAGTTAGCTTCTGTTCACTATTGTCATGTCTGACATATAACTACAGACTAGAAATTCGCCAAATCTTTTACCGAAATCATCATCTAGCAAATTAAACTCAACCAAGTAGTAGGGCCAATCAGCAGGCTCGACAAATCAGAGGGGACACCACGCCACCTACACGCACTCGCCTTAGGGCGGCTTCTCAACATTGCTTGTTGAGAGAAGCTCGACCCAGAGGGCGAGCGTGCCGCGCAACCAGCGCCCCCGCAACCGATGGAGGTCCCTGTGAGGACCTCCGGGGTCAGGTCTTCCGCCGCATTCAACCCGTTCGGGTCTCGAGCCCCCGGAGCCCTCGAATTCTCTCAGTATAGTTGAACTAACACGTGTTCGCGCCGCGCTTTACTATTTCCACCCCTCCTGAGCAGGGTCTAGCGTAAGTCCTATTGTTGTAAGTCCAATTCTAGAATTTAGATTCTTTT